TTTTTGTCTACCTCTATCAGTGATCATGAAAGGGAACTTGGTTTCAGTCTTGTGCTGGACATGCGAGGATCTACATGGCCTTCTGTTAAGCCTATGCTAAAAGCTTTACAGGTTTGTTTCACTTGATATTGAATGAAAAATTCTTATTACTCACTAAAGCCGGTGACACACTTGGCATTACATATGGTGATCCTGTTGAATTTGATCGTATATAATGATATATGATATATGAATGATATAATGCAAAGTGTGTTGCCGGTGTAAGGTATGTAATCTAAGGTGACATGTGGGAAATATGATGTGCATAAGCTTATCCTCTGAGTGAACATTGCTGAATATCAACTGCATGCTACTTTGAAGAAGTTTATGATACATCTAAGTGTAAATCAAGATATCTTCTGTAAAATTAATACGAACTAAAGATGTTGCACACAGACAAGCACTTCCTTATCATGAATGGTTAATAACTGGAGTTCTAATGATTTCTCTAATTTTATTGCCCTAACAATCCAGGTTAAAACTGAATAGTGGTATTAATTTGAGCATTTTAATATCATGTGTGAACAGTGGAATTTCGTTTTTCATTTACATCATTGCATGTGCAGCCTGTACATATTATGCTTTTATCCACATGGTGGCTTTCACTAGAAACAATTGAAATGTCTTTAATAATCAAAATGCCATGTTCCTGAATTAATTCCTTTCTGAAATATTGAGCTGAGATATTTTACAAGTTACTTTGTGGTTCAGTTTTTGTCGTCATCTTCTGTACCTGCTTGAGGATTGGTATTTTGGTGGCCAATGCGACCTTTAGAATGGCATGTCTATGTTCCATACAATTACCATAACAATAGATAGAGGGATTTAATAAAATTACTCCCAAGTCTGAGTATTACACTGAGCACTGCATGATTTCACTGGACTGGATGTTGGCTAATACAATTTGTTCGTCTCCTTTATTGAAACAGAAGCACTTCCTACAGCCCCTTTCTTAAAAAAATATGAAAAGTTGTGTAGATGATCTCTTACACTGTAAGATATGTAAATAAATGCAGCTGCATGTATATGTACATAGAAAGCTTTGTAAAGTCAGCTTAATATACAAATTACATTCAGGTGGTAATAATCAATAGTTATTGCCAGCAGTATCTTTTATTACCACCTAAAATCATGTGGAACATTAGAAAATTCAATAAATAAAAGATTGCTCTTACTAATGGTTTAAAAATTTCCTTTAACTTGTCATGCTTAAATCGAGGAAGAACACTGCTATAGTGTTTTGTGAATTATGAAATTTCCCTTGAACAATGTTCAGTAAAATCAATGAACTGACTTTCAACAAAGCAGAATGAAGTATGTTTTGAGTTATTAGTCAGTTAATTAATTATTGTTGTTGGTAATTCAACCAGCTATTGTGGTGTTATTTGATAGGTTTAAAAGAGATCTCTCTCTGTTTGATCATTTCCAATCATTCTTTGATATATTGAAATATACAACATGATAACTCTGCAACTCTTTTATTCAAAATTGATAAAAAGTGACCCAACTACTGTCTGTCCAAATTTGCTCAATCAACAAATACAATTGTATCCTTGAAAAGCCAGTAAAAAATTAATTAACTGAAAATCAGGATTTCCTTTGAATTTCAAAGGAACCTGTCAAAAATGACCACAGTATTTTCTAAGCCACTTTGATTAATTTTCTGTAATTTATGATGGCAGATTGGATGACAGTGACAGATAAATGTAACACAGCTTTTTACTGTTCCAACGCCTGAGGTATTTTTCCCCTTTGCAAAAGGTATTCATGGCAGTGACACTAACTGGGGTTTAATTTTCTTATTTATCTTTCAGGAGTGTTTTATTGCTAAGATTCATACTGTTTACCTTCTGAAACCTGACGGATTTTGGGAACGAAGCAGAGTGTCATTTGGAAGTTCAAAATTGTTATTTGAGGTTAAGTACTGAAATTCTACCAAATTGTATTATTCTGACTGTGACACAGCATGGTGGAACTTCAATACACTGATATTGACAATTTTACCACACGATACCTTGCCATATATTAACTCAAGTTATGATAACTGTGGTTAAGAATTCATGTTGTATCATTGTTTTCTGTAAAGAAGTTCCAACATCTTTGTTTTTTAAAACATTCAAGACCACTCTAGAAGGTTCCTTGTGAACTGATATGTAGACTACATATAGTTTATCTATCCATGTAAAAATGCAGAGGTCATGTATGTGTTAAAAATACTTTTCCTCTACCAAATTTATCTTGTTTTGTTTCACTTCATCAGGCATGTGAAATTATTATTAGTTATCTCTTAAAACAACACATTACTTCAGTATTTTACCTTCTGGTTTCTCATTACATATGCTATCCAGTTGATCCTGGCAGCTTTGTTACTGTCAAATCTAACATAACACATCTTTATTCTGTAAAATGCTCTATAAGGTCATGTGATTTGATGTCACACTGCCTTGTAATTCTGTCACCTTCAGCAATTCAAGTTTCATTGCTTGTCCTGATTTCTTTGATGACCTACAGGTGAAAAACAATGGCCTATACATAGTGAAATTTGAAACTTTTATGTCAGACATATTGTCCCAATTCATCAGAGTTCAAACTGTCTGATTTGAAATGTTCTGTCACAGAAGTCTTCCTTTCAAAAGCCTTTCACAAAGCTGTGGTTTTAGAACATAAACGGTGTGTTGTTATTGATTGTTTATATATTGTGTGCTTGTGAAATTTTGTGGTTCTCTGTAAGATCTGAGATAATTTAATTTAAGGACAGTCCCGGCTCTGAGGGATTGCATGACATTTTTTGGATTTTTGTGGTAACAACTTCTCTATTGAAAGCTCCTTATTCATTTGGTTATCATGTCTCTGAGAGATGAGATTTGCCCCTCTTAGTGTTACAGGCTTTGATTTTCTGCCGATAAAATAAACAAATATGTGCAACTGTATGAAAAGTTCAGACCGCTTCAACAGCAAGAATTTATCTACCAAGGTGATAATGTGGGAAAGCCTATATGTTAAGTTATGATGTGTGGTTGGTACAACATTTAAAGGTTTCTATTTTTTACCTTAAAGGTTAGTATGATTTGCTCCATGTGAAAATGCATTCACCTGCATGGTTTTGTATATGGCTTTTTTGTCTCTGTTATTTTCCTGTATACAACATATTTGTTACAAATGGCAAAGTTATAAGTCAAGAGAACAAGTGACACTTCATTGTTTGTATGTTTGCCATTGTTTGTTCTTGATTGTGGATTGGGTGAATAGAACAATTTTGGTGGCCAACTTCTGTTTTGGTTTTAGAAGGGCAAAGCTCTTGAGGGGCAATTAGAATTGATTGAAGCCACATTGAAATTGAAATTTGTTGATACAATTCCACAGATTATATATGTTTCTTTTATGCAGAGTATTTTGATTAAATCCTGTGAAGGCTAGTTTGCTATTTCAGTTTGCTGTTTATGTTTGTAGATGTGATTTTTTATTATACATGCTGTATATCTTTTTACCATGCACAGATATTACATAATGACTTACATGTACGAACAGTAATTCATGTGTATAAACCATTTTAGTCTTTTTTTATTTGTAGATTAGTTAAGATAGCAATTCTTTTTATTGTTTCCTATAGCTGTTTCTATAGAGTACATCATATCCATCACCAGTGAATCAAATTTGTAACCATGGTTTTTCAGTTGCTTTGTGCTAAACACTATTTTAGTTTTTAAAAACACGTTTTTTGTCTCTCTCTCTAAACTCTTCTTGAAAATTGTTGCGTGAGAAATAACTGTTGTGTTCAAAGGACAAAATCTTACTAGCAAATTAAGCTTGCACAGCGATCTCACTTGAGAACATATAACTACAGAAAGCTGAATATATTTGTTTTAAGTCATGATGATGGTATCTTGTTTTCATATCATTTTGTGACCTTCATTTTTCTAGTAAAATGTAGCATATATTTTTTTTTGGATTTAAATTTCCTTTTTTTAAATTCTGATCTATGTATGTAAATATATATATTTTTTTATCATCAAGTGTTCTTGATAGGGCAAATGTCAAGTATCTATATTTCACTGAAATCTTTGAAATTCCTATCTGTCTGTCATGGCTTCTATTTAAATAGTTATTTTTTCCTATCGTCTGCTGAATTCAAGGCCAGAACAAGAGTACTTCTTTAAGGCTTAGTCTAGACTTACCATATTGTTTTTGATATTTGCCTGTCTAATGTGAAGTGGCAATGGAATGGTTTCAGAATCTGCGTAAAAAATGACCTCTTTAGTAGCTGCTTCCAACCCACAGCACATTCGCTGCTGGTTATATACATGTAAATGCTGTACTTTATTATTCCTGTGGAAAAGCACATGCCGAGCTGGCATTGGTTATAATTCATTAATTTTGGTTCCCCGAGGTTACTAGATAATGACCTTTCTTAATGTAAAGTTTTCCATTATGATAAAAACAAAGACAAATCAACTTAAATTCGGTTTATGCAAATGGATTTAAAGGCAGGAAGTCACATTTAATGAATCAGACGGCAGTCAAAAACCATTTTTGGGGAGTTTGATTTGATGATCACCTTTTGATGTGGAACTATTGATTTATCAATCCTACTACTGTTGCTGACCACTTTATTTCTGGGGCAAATTGGGCAGAAATTTATTCACTGTCAAGTTATTTATCGTTTGGTACACATAAACACATATGTTTGGAGTCTTCAAGGCACCTAAGATTTTATAATGTGTTCTTCAGGTTAGTGGAGCATGACTCATCTACAAATAGTAAACAGAGAGATATTTTATCACTCTTTCTGTATACTCTTGTTTTCTGACTTATCAATCAAATGTTACTATTCACTTTGTGTTACTCAGAGTTTCGTTTTACTTAAATTATTCAAAGTCAAATGAACTTTTTCCATTTGCAGTATGTTTAAGCCATGTTCCTTTGTTTATAAATATTTTTCCTAGTCCTTTGTTGATGGTGATGAAATGTTGTGTATTTTCAAACTGTGTTTGCCTGTCCTGTTGCCATAAGATTTCATTATGACAGTCATTTGGCATTTTAGAATGATATATAAGGTTTGCACTTGATGGAGTGTTCTGTTGTATTGTTGTGTTATAAATACAAGTTATTGAACAATCTATGTTTAACTTGCAACCGGTGTAAGTCATGACAGTTGCCCTAGGGCAACACAGTGTATTTTGATGACCTCCAAGACCTGTTTCATTTCCCTAAGATATTCCACACATTTAAATTTCAAACAGGCATTACATTTTAATCAAAGGTTCATGTTATGTTCAATTTTGTAATATTTTTATCTCTAGGCTCATTCAGTAACATGGATTTTTCAATGTTAGGAACATTTGAAAACTCAATGGCTTATGACTAATTTGTCTACTAAATTTCACTTTGAAATTTTTCTTTCGGTGAACGTTTGATCAGCACTCAGAATATCAATGCTTAAATACTCATTTTTTTTGTGAGGCAAACATTTTATCCATGTCATACACTATTCTGTGAGTGTGAGTTTTTTTTGAAGTAAGTATTTTTTTAGCTATTCATTACAAAAATAAGTTATATCTTGATGGTTTCTTGGCTGTAAAGATCAGTAAAATTTCAATTATGATAATTACTGGTTCATGGCACAATAGATATTTTCCACCAGCTGGTTTGTGACAACACTTTCCAATCTGACAATCTCTTTGATGTTCAAGCTTTTAAATGGGGTGATTTAAAATTTTTTCAAATTGTGATTTTTGCAAATTCTTCTGCTCAATACACAGATTAAAGTTTATTAGACCTGAGTGTTCATCTTTTTTGGTGCAGTGTATACCAGTATGTAGAAACTGTTTGAACACATGGTCTAATTAAATAAAATTTCACTCTGAAATAATTTTTTTCTGTCTAGTTACTCTTTACAGTTATGATATCTTGCATGTACAAAATTTATTCTTTGGTTGTTAGGCATCAAATTTTACATGTAATAAGAATTTATTATGAAGTATACATGTAGTACAGTCCCTAATAAATCCAGATAAGATATTTTAGGTATCACATCCCTAAAGGTACAATTTTTGTTATCTTAAGGGCAAAGTTACCTTTTCAAGTAAACATACTGACATGATTTTTTTGATGATTTGATTGAGTTTGAATTTGTTGGTTTGTCACACATACATGTGAATTATGTCCAGAAATGACAACGGAAATCTCACAAGTGACAATCAGCTCCCAACTAGAGTCTGCGAGGCAGGGGTTCAGCATCTGTCAAACCCTGAGTCTTAAAGGCTTCTTTTCTGCAATTGCTAAAAACCTGCAAGATCATTTCTTGCTTGTTTAATAACATTTGTTAGAAATGTATTGTCAAGGTGTACATTTGACTGTTAAGGCTGTTAGGATTTTTTTTTTAAGTCCCAAAATATATTTTACTGACCTGAAGGCAATGTAGCTTTGTCAAGTTATATGTACTTTGTTGTGTCAAGTTATATGTACTTTGCTGTACCAACTGCCTGGACAAGATCGGGCACTAAGCTTTTGCCAAACTCAGTTTATTATAAGTGATGTGCACTACTTTATTTCCAGGTTGAAGTTGTAATAATTTAAAAGGCAGTTATATTTTTAAAGAATTTCCTTGTTGTTTTTTTTTTTGGTATTGTTTGGTGGAACCTATATTACAGTTTTTGTGATGGGTATCTTCTTTTGACCCTTTGACTCCTTGGACTGACTAGCATGTAATTTCTCCTTACATCACTGCCATGGAATCAAAAATTAAGGTTCTGAGAATAAAAGAAATGATCACTAACAAGCTTGTGATTGTCAAACAAATTCTCCTTGTCAGCACCTTAAAGACTGTATAGAGGGCAGTATGGAGAATGTGGCCCTCATATTGTTTACCACTCTACTGTAGGTTGTTGACTGTAACAATTTAGTCGAAATGCAGTAGGGGCCTAAGATCTTATCAGTTTAGGGTAAATGATGGCTAGAGTTTAATTCCTGTTCAGATTAATTATTCTCTTTAAGTCTAAATGAGATGACTGGGAAGAAATTTAAACTCTGTAATTACTTGGAACATCCAGTTGTTCATTAAAGTTGAACTCTTTTGAATGAATCATTATCACAGGAGTTGATTTCTTGTCATATACTTCCAATTGAAAGTCACACTCTTTTTCCTAGAGAGTTTGAAGTATTACGCACGAATAGATTTGGGTGAAATGTAGGTATCTTTAAAAAGGAGTCCTTTTGGAAAGCTTAAGTTGTAGGTTTTTTTAAAAAGTATGTTCTCAAAATAGTGTGCAGTTGATCACATGAAGCACCTGCTCAAAAGTGTAGAAATCAATTTTCTACCGATTCTTTCTACAGTTCCATTTCCATGGTTGCCATTCTCTTCATTTGAGCTTTCCAAAGGCTCACTGAAAGTAGAAAGCAAAACTATGTTAAAAAAAACTTGTTTTTCTTCCATGAGGATAAGGTTAATTTTTAAAAAGTGTTTTCAGACTTTCCCAGCATGTGTCTCAACATTTTGGTTATTGTTGTGACCCACTAGCCACTAAATATTGGAAACAATTGATTGCACAGCAGGGTTTTTGCTGGCTGTTCACAATTTATAAAATAATCAATCAGGCTAGATTTCCCCAATTTCTCTTTTTAGCCTTCTTTGCATATTGTCAAAATTAACCTTTGCAGGTGATGTTTGTTAAATGGAAAATGATTTGCACCAGAGATTATGTGTTCCTTTGATTTAAGTGATGACTTTCTCAAGGCATGTGATGATGTTTGATGTGTATCATATGATCTCTCTTGGATTAATGTTGGTGTATCTTCCAGCTAGGCTTTATACATCATGTATCCTCTCATTTTTTTCTCAGCATTGCAAGAAATATGGTATTGTGCAGACTTTTATTTATTCTTTGTGGTGTAATATTTTATTTTCGATGGTTTGTGCGTAATGTTGTGTGTCATGTCTTGTTGCTTTAAATTGAACATTGGTGTTAAAACTTAGCTTTAATCTTTAATCTCCTTAAAGTGGGATTTTTTTGGCATGAAAAGGAGTTATTTTTTAAGTGGGTGTAGTCATAATCTCCACATTGTGGAGATAATACGTGATGTATTTTCTATGTGCTATTGGCATTTGACTACAAGTTCTGAATACTACAATAGGTACAAAGATTGAGGTTTTTCTATCTGGTGAAGAATTTTGAATGTTGGTTTCAGCATAGTGATGATGACAAGTTACTTATAGTAACTGTTGGTTGTACATATTTCATTGCATAATAGTAAAATACTTGCTATTTGATTTTTGGTGTCACTACACCACAGATCAAGTTCATTTTATGTTTAATTTTCTTTCAACTCTATGCTAAATTTAAGTTTTATATTTCTATGTTATAAATTCACTTTTACGCATTACCACTTGTAAATCAAGGCAAATGTATGATGAAAATTGAACAATAGCTGATACTTACCACTAAAATTTCTGTTTATAGTAACTCATGTTGATATGTTCTGTAAACTAAGGTTTATATGTAGATGCTTTTAGTTGGAACATATTTGTTCTTGAACTAATTAACAATTGGTTCATGCTTTAGTGTGCACTATTGAGTTATGGAGCACGTGGGAAGTTTGAAGAGCATGAAAGAAGCATAAGAGCTGCCCGAGGTAATAGCCGAGGGCAACTCTAGCTTCTTGAGTGCTTTCCAAACTTCCCATGTGCTCCATAACTTGATAGTGCACAGCTAAAAGCATGAACCAATTGTTTTCTAACATAGCTAGTCGGAAAGTGAAGCAAATTGTGACGGCGCTGATGCCAAGTCTCCTTTTCCATTGTTTTCCTCTTTTTCTGCCTCATTTAAGAACTCTAGCCTAAGGGAAAAGGTTGGAAAATTGTCTTCATTTTGGGACTGGTGGGCCAAGTGTCTGTTTGTATCCATTATTGTTGCAAAATATATTATTTTTCCCTGTGCTAACAATGACTGCTTGTGTGAAAAAAAAAATTTCTGGCGAAGCAATTTGCTCACACAATCAGCGTGCACTATCGGGATTTTGAGCATGCTTACGTAAACTGAATTTGATTGCACGGCTCTGCCAGCTATGTTATAATACTTAATATAACTGATATAAAAAGACTTCTGGTGGGTTAGATGTGCACCTGTTATTTACAAGGGCAGAACAAAGTCCAGTTGAAAAAAAAAAAAATTCATTTTTCACTTATCCTTCCTTTTTCCCTTTCTTCCTTCTCTCCTTTATATTTACATTGTTCATGTTAAATTGTTTTTTTTTCCTAGACATTGAATTGTACACCTTGTAAACAATTCACATTAATGTTTTTACCTCAAGCTGAAAGTGAAATGAATTATCTATTGATGACTTTTACATGTTATTATTTTATCTCTCAGTTGCAGGGTGCACTATGATTGGTCAGTGAAATATGGTTGACCAATCAAAGTACACATTGTTATACTGTTAAATTAATATGTTTGTTTGTATTGAAATCTCCCCCTCTATTTGAACCAAGAGATATAATATTTATCTTACTATCGCTGTTTTCTCGGCCTACACTGTAAGTTATGGAACCTCAGCCCATAACTTACCATGTAGACCTTGAACTCAGTTTGAAGAGGTATTACAGCATGCCTTTAATTTTGAATTGTTTCATTGTAGTAATTAATTACTGAGACAATGATCACATGGTAATTTGAAAAATGTGATATTTCATTTCAGACTGCCCTCACATCTCTGGATGGTCTCGCAAAATTTATCGACATTGATCAGCTAACTTTAGATCTGGGAGGTACCTTTAAGTATGATCATTCCAAGTGGATCAACATGCGAATGGTGAGTTACAAACTTAACAAAGGCTTAGAATGTCACCAACCAACTGGCCAATCTCTACCTTAGATGCAGATGCGTGTTATCGGTTAATGGTTCTTTTGATGTCGTGTGTCGTTATCATGGGCATCTATGTGGTCCATAAATTTCTAGAACTTAAAAAATATTGTAGGTGTATTTCTTGAAAGGTATTCCCAATTTTCGGTAAAAATTCTCTCCTCTCTCAACACTGGTTGGCTTGGTATATTCATGGTATTGAAAAATGTACATCATTACAGAGGTTTCCAATGAATATCACAAGCGATGAAAAGTTTCAAGTACATTGCAGATCATAATATCCTATGAATGTTTTGATTTTCTCCTCAGAGTTAATGAGATGTTATATTATTGTTATTGTCAATTCCTATATGAGATATGACTGAAATTACCAAAAACAGTTGCAATAATTTAAGTGGTTTTTGGGTGATCAAATTGAATGTCTTTTTATGAAGAAGTCCAATATTCCTCCTGATTTAGACAAGTATCCAAGTTTGCAGTCCTCTTTTATATTTCTGTGTGAATTTGCATTTTATATATGAGAAAACGCAAATTGACTGAATTTCTGATGTAATACTGATAAATAAGGGAGATAGTTTGATATCAGGCCTGAGATCAATACCACCTGTTGACACACAGCTGAAAGTTACAATATCCTGTTTTATTCTTCTGACAATTCACAACTAAACTGCAGTTAGCATTATGTTGACAGAGGTTACTTTGAATTTCTTTGGTTTTTAAGATAAATTCTTTCATATTTTATAAAGAGAAAATTGGATTGTTTTATCTCCCTGAAACACTGATTTGTATTCTGTAGACTCACTTGAATTTAATTAAACAGATAAGATTAATTGATTGGATAATGGGCTTTGGCTTATAACAAGATATTCCTCAGTAACAGGTGAAGGAGACCTATGGACAGGCATTGGGAAAATAACACTAGGTCTTATCTTCCCAAAATCAAATCAGTTGTACCAACAAATATGATTAAAACATGATGGTACATAGTGACAAAAAGTATGCTGTCAAAACCATTTTCAGTACATGTTTATTGAGGTTATAAAGAAATAAAATCATGCTGCATGAGCTTGGCTGTTGTTTGATGAAGAGTTTTGACAATATGTATAAGGTATCGCTTTTTCTCTTTCAGGCACTGGAAAAATTTCTGTATGAGGCCTCATCGTTATTAGCCAAGTTAGAAGAAATTCAAGATGGCTTAGACAAGGAAGATTTTTCTGATACTCTTGAGGGTCTCAAAGATCAAATTAAACATAATCAACATGTGAAAAAATGGATTATCAAAGCACCTGTGGAATTATTGCAAGAGGAGGGGGAAAAAATTCGCAATACTATAAAAAATCCAAGCTATGAAGACTCTGAAGATAGTTTAACGGAGGATGATGTGAAGAAAGCAGAGCTACAGATACAGGAATTAGTGGAAGGCTTGCATACCAAGAGGCAAAAGTTGAGGGAATTATGGAACTTGCGGAAGATGAGACTGGATCAGTGTTTCCAGTACCGTGTTTTCCAACAAGATGCTGAGAAGGTAAAGACATTTTTTGACAGATTGTATTTGAAAATCTGTACAAAGTATTATTTGTTCCTTATCCTTGAATTCCTCATTTGCTGAAAATTCATCTCTTGTTTGCATCATTTTTTTTCTCAAGCGATTGCAACCCACTTCTTATTTCCATTAAGGTATTCCTTTGTTCTTCATGATATGGGTATACTTCACTATTAAAATTCAGCAGTATGCAAATTGAAAGCATGACTTGGGGTTAAATTTCCTTCTCTGGTGTACATGTTTAAGGGCTATCAATCCTCACAGAAATATTACGATTCAGTTCATTTGTTCTAGTTGAAAATTTTATTAAGTTATGTGGAAAGACCATCAACTGAAATAGACCAAGTGATTTCAAAACTTCAGCTGACATTTTCTTTCTTGTTAATGATGTATATCAGCAGCATCAAAACAAGCCAGAATCATCAGAGCACATTTTTATTTTGGTATTTTGACAGAAGAAAATTATGAGGATAAGGCTATGGAATACACTAGAAGGAATTGCTTTGTATGCTATTGTTTTTATTGACTTTTAGCAACAACAATGTAGTCACTGGTCTCACAGATTTTCAGTTTAAAATAATATGTTTATTTAGAGACATTGAGTGAGTCAGATGTTTAAAAGTGGAAAAATGTACAGTTCTTTCAGTTGGACTTGCAATACAATGTTTACTGCCTTACTGCTCTTCCTAGGCACAGCTCCTCATTACACCTTCACAGCCAATGGGAAAAAAGTTATAGAAACCCAACCATTTTTTCAACAGCATGACGTTATCACTATCACAACATAACTATACCATGGCCAATTTATAAACAGTGCACTGTGGCTTCTGAGTAAGAAGTTTTTAAATAAGAAAAGCGCTCTATTTCTGCCTTAACATCTTTGAAAAGTGCATGTGGTTCTCAGGAGGTGCGCTGTCAATACCATAGTTTAAACTTCAAATGAAGTGTACTGCTTTGATATAAGGTAGAGTTTCTCTGTGCAATGACTCCTGATTAAAGAAATTTGCTGCTGATGTAATACTTAATTACTAGACAGTTGAGTGGGACAATTAGGAAGCCTGACATTTAATTTGCAAGGTAGCTTCAGTAATTTTTTTGTGTGGATGCATGCAAATGGATTGTGTTTCTCTCTACATCAAAGGCTTCTTGACACAGGTTTAGTTTTGTACCATTGTTTGTAATTGCACAGTCATGTTCTCTAAAGATTCTGATCGTAGAAAATGGCTTTTAATCTTGGAGATTGCCTGGGGCTTAATTTATTGTGTATAGATACCTTGTGATAAGGCTTTTCTTTTGTTGTTGTTGTCTCTGGTCTGCAACAGCTTGTGAAAACTGTATGGTAGATAATATAAATTTCAAACACCAAAACAACAGGCTTGTTGTGATAAGTGGTCAATTTAGAGAATAAAGGAAAGAATTCTTTTATTCTATAAATTCATTTTTGCAGCCATCATTGGGAAAAGTTTTCCTTAAAAATTTGATGTTATTCAGTATTTTGAAATACATGAAAAAATTGTACTTATTTTCTATAGAGGAAACTTTTTAGCATGAGAGTGTATGCAGCTAGGTGCACTATTTTTTTTCCTTTTTATCATTGTACTTGTTCAAAAAATTCTGCCTAGACTTAGTAACTTTAGAAAATTATTTGCCCAAAGATAATTTGATAGATACAAACTCTTCTTTGATGTCATAAATCTAAATACTTTTGATAAGAACATCAAAATAAAATCTTAACACTTAAATGGCTCTCAGAAAATGTAGTAAAGTGGCATTTTGAGGTTTTTACCGATGTTTAAAAACCCTCCTTGGTTAATTAAGTGAATCCTGTGGTTTATTTGCTTTTAGCTTGGTTCTATTTCTTAGCAGGGGATATGGTGAGTTGTCATAGTAAGGCTTAAAACAGATGCCGTTGAACCTTTGTTTTTCTTTTATAGGCCTATCAGAGCTTCATGATCTTGCTTTTATTCTGTAAATCCTTTAATCCCAATAATGGTATTTTCATGTGATAAAACTGTGGTGTTTTTGTGTTCTTTGTGTAGCTCTGGAATAGTTAATGTGAGACTATGCAGTTTTAACACCGATCAACCCTTTTTAGCTGGATTTTTTATTTATTTTATTTTTGTTTGTCATGCAAAAATGTCATGTTTGGAGTTTTTCTAATTAAAATGGAGGATGATAGATTGTGGTTTAGTTACTGATGTTGTCATTGTCTTTTATTTTTGATTCCTGTGGGTCCAGCTTGATTGATAAGGAGATTACTTCTTTGAAATTGAGAAAATCTGTTTTGGTTTTTCAATGACAATGATTTTAATTTGTGCTTTGTGAGCTCAATTGCGACATTACCTGCAGCCTCAGTGGTTTCAATACCAAGTGTAATTTCCTTTTTCTCCACAAACCCCAGGACATTATTATCTGATCTGTCAGGATCTTCTTTCTATCCTTTGAGAATGCCGTTTATTAAACTCAATCAGCACAGAGAGATTGTCAACAAAGTACAGAAATTTGCAATTTTTCAAAAACAGACAGAGCTCATTAAAAATTTATTGGTCGTAGTCTGCGATCAGACAGCTAGTCTGCAAAGCAGAACAACACAGATTATTTATGGTGATTTTATTGTGAAGAGGTTTAGGAAGCCAGAAGATTGTCGCTTTAACTATAGAAGTGCACAATATTTACGTACCAGTTGGTCAGTAAGCAGTAAAACCTTCTGTATTCTTGTCAACTTATATTTAATAATCCTTACACGAAAGGTTAAACACAAGGATATCAGAGGGTGGGTAGTGTTAAACCAGAATTGAGCACTGTAACAAGATCTTTGCTCATAAGAGATTAACTTGAATGTGCAAACCTAACAGGTGTTTGAAGTATTGTATGTGAGGAACAAAAACCCTTGAAAATTTGTAAAATGTTTGCAGTAATTTTGCAGTTTAATTTCATGCTCTGCATGAGCCATACTTTGAGGTTGGGTGATTGTTGCTGGTGCTAAATATTTTTTTTTAAAAGAATACTCTGCCTTCAAACCAAGCTCTCTTTTATTTTACAAATCACAGCTATTAAACTTCATGGCTCTGCAGTCGGGGGAGTTTTTGTTTACTAGGTTGAAGTGAATTGAAATTTTGTGCTAAGCCATGGTAACCTAACTATTACATCCTGTTTGCTTTGAAGCTCAGGAACTCTTTATTTTAGAATATAATAAGTTAAATATTTTTCTTTTTATGATCAGTACAATTTTTCTAAAAATATCCAACAATTGTAGTGATTAGAAGATCAAGAGGTTTGCAGTAAAATGTAGTAGAGGAACCAACTTCAAATTTAGTTTCTTGATGGGAAATTGGTCAGGTGTGATACAGAATTATGTCTACTGAAAAAAAAAAGAGAAGCTCTTTAAGGGCTAATTCTGCTTACTCAGTCGTTCATATAGCAATGTAAATTTTATGGCAAAATTTGGCTTTTTATTGGTGCACAATTTGCCAACAGCTGCACTCGTAATATTTTCAAACTGGTTAGCTCTCTGTTTGATCAGCGGTGTAATCCTTTCGAATATTTCTGACATTATTTGACAAGTAGATGAGGCCATTTCCTTCTGAAATTAAGTTTCTTAACTAGCCAGCTGATTTTTTTTTGTGTTCAGAATTTATAAGTTTACTGAGGCATCAGTTTTTTCACTTTTTGTTGCTTTCTTCTGGTTGGTCTTGTGTGTGCAGAGCAAAATGGCTCTGCTTTCACAGACGTAAGTGCAATATTGAAATATTATTACCATGAGGATCGGAAATTAGCTTGGTCAGGACTCATCAAGTATTATATTGAAACTGTCACTGTGGACAAATCATCCTGAGGCAAAATCCAATATTTCAGAGGTGGTTTTTTTGCCAATTTTGTTTTTCAGATGCTGGTATGGATAAGGGAGAATCATCAGGAGTTTTTACTGAATTATGCCGAAATTGGAAATGATACAACCTCTGCTGATGAACTTCAAGAAGAGCATCGAAATTTCCAAGGCAGTTGTATGGTAAGTCAAGTCTTAGGTTCTAAGCTGAGGAACAGTGATATTATCTCCAAGCAATTTAGTTGCATTTATGTTCAAAATAAGTCTGTAAGGATATTTGAATCTTGTGTTTCAAGAGCTTGTCTGTTTGTAGTTGTTATTAGTGTTCAAACAATTTAGTTCCAAGAGACCTTTAAACGTATATCACTGCTTTTTGTGGTTTTAACTACCAGTGCTTCATGGCTCTTGAAATGTGAAAATTTCAAATCGGATATTCCTACACATGTATATAATTACATATAAATAATATAAGGAAATTTTTAATCACCTCTCTTGTAATCTTATTATGTTCTAGTTAAACATACATTCCATGGTCAGTTTTGTCTCTATACAGTATGTTGTTTTCCAAGTTGTCTCTTGTCCATAAATCATTATTCATTTGCAGTGAATGTCTGGTATGGCATTTCAAGTGCTGCACCCACTTTAAATGTTTCATTTTCCTTTTTTTTGGAATAATAGTGTGATATTGTTTTTGCACTTGAGTGCAATTTTGTTATGCTTCTGATTCAAAATTTTCTGTGGTTATTTCCTGTTTTACTAAGATAGGCAAAGCGTTTTAACATAAACTTTCTTTGATTGGCTCAAACTGTGCCACGTCAATAAAAAATTATGCTATTTTGAGTTTGCATGATGGAGGCCTACACTCCCTTGATATAATATTATAACCACACATAATTATATTCAAAGAAAATCTTCTAAGCTGTTTTTTAATCATTAAAATGCAATTGGATTGAAATTTAAATCAGTTACAAGAAGCTTGGCCAGTCTAAAGTTAAGTCTTGACTCAATTTATTGCCTGGATGTAGCTGTGCCTCGTGGAAGAGAAAAAAAAAATTTTTTTCAGACACAACATTTGCATAAGGAAAAGCAATATTGTCAAACTTGACACTCATATTTGTTGCTACTTTGATTAATTTAACAACAAGAATGTAAATATTTAAAAGAAGCAGGCTTGTGTAGCTTTGTTTATAATTCATGCATAATTATTTAAAGGCTATGATGTATTATAATGTAATTTTTTCAGTTTTTTTTTTGCATGTTTTGGTTTCATTTCTGGTACCTGTTGGATCAGTCTCAGAAAATTATCCAGTGCTGCCAATATAATCTCTCAGTTGTGAGCATTTTAAGTGAAATTTTTATGTGAATTATTTACAAGATAACATCAGATGAAATCTATCTGATAAGCCAAGGTTTATGGTTGAAGGATACTTTTTTTAAAGAGAGAAGATGCTAAATCCAATATCATTTCAAGGTATCGGTTTTTGATATTTACAAGTGTGGTTTAGAATATTATTACACCGCTTGGCCTGTAAATTGTTGAAAGTTGAAGTTGAACTTAAAGTTAGCCAAAGCCAAATCTGAGGTAAACACCACACCTGCAAAGATCTTATTTCAGCAAGATAAAAAGTTTACTCAAAAGTCCTAATTATAAAAATGTTTTTATGATGGTTTTCTTCAAGGTTTTCATGATAACTTTGACCCCAGTAGTTGGATACTTAACAAAAGTTGAAACTGGAACAATTTAAACTTTTCACTCTGGTGTACAATTAAGCTTTCTCCAACTATTTTCTTTGTTATTGTCACGAATGAAAACAAAGTATGAAATTTAAAAAATGTTACTTATGAGGAGGAGACTTAAAGAGGAGGAGGACAGGGTGTGTTTGTGCTCAAAAGCTGCCTCTTTCTTTCAAAATGTAACAGTGTTGTTTAGACCACATAAACGAACACAGTTCTGTTTGTTGATTGATTCTTAGGATAATAAGGGTAATACATGACACTTCTAAATATGGTGCAGTAGAGCCATTTAGCCCTGTCTCCCTCAACTCAATTCTGCCAGTTATTATTCTATACATGATATAATTCCACTGGGCTTGCTATGAGAATTCGTATCACCTTTGTGATAATTTTGTTTTACATTCAGTACCTTCCTGCTTGAGTGTTTTTTCAAATGAAATGAGAATGTAATATACACTGGATAGCTTAGTTGTTGAGTTTTTTTTCCACTTGTCCACTGAGTAATGATTGCTACATGCTGCAAACATGTGGTTCTTGTACTCTAGCTCAGTGTTGTTGGTCTCAGCACAATTTTTAACAGGGTAGATGGGTAATGCCATCCAACAGGTAAAATGCCATCCAGTAGATGAGTGATTACAAAACATACTGCTGTTCTATTCACTGGATAGAGGTATATTCAGTGCTTGGCATTATCCAGCCTTTAACCTAACACAGCCCTAATTCCAAACCCTTGCATCTGGTAAGGCTCCTTCCGTTAATTAGTTTGCATTTAAATTTTGCAAAATTTAAAATCAACTGTAATGATGCAAGTGGGTGGGGGGAGGGGGAGGGGGGAAAACCATATCCCTTTTGCTGTGAGAAGAGATCTCTTTATTTGTTTTTGTCACACCATAGTCACCCTCAGAGGTTTCAACAACTTTTTCCATAGAGGGATGTGGACAGTGTTAGAGGGATTGGCCTGAAAAAATGGCAGTTAGGCAAAACCAAGACACAAAAGCCAGTTCATAAGCTAAAAAGACATCAGGTAGAGATCTGATAAGCTGTGGTAGACCACTGATAACTGACTTCTATCATAGTCCTTGCATTCTGAAGTCCTTGCACCCTGAAACCCAGGTTTACCCACTTCCACAACATTAATTTTTCAGTAGTTTCCTGACCAGCACAGAAGAAAATTGTAAACTTTCTTAGGTTACTTCATAACTGTTTACTTTTTTATGCAAAGAATACTCTGCCAATGAAAGAAGTTTTAATTTTTTATTTCTAATTATTATGAAACAGTAAGAAAATTTAGGTTCTATTTTATTAGTTTTAATTGCTGTCCTTCTTTAATGATTGGAAGCAATTTTAAGCCATTTAGAAAAGTGTGAAGTGGAGTTTGTTTTTTTAATTTACTTTCTGTAGCACAACCTGTACTTTTAAATATCAAGGGTTACTATTTGTGAAGAGTATTTTAATTTAATTTTATGGTGGCAGAGGTAACAATAGACATTTTATATGTCTCCATCCTTGGAGACCCAACGGAAAATAGTTGAATGAGAAGAAATACAACAGCAGTTTCATTTCAAGGTTACAGTTTAGTTCAATCCTTGCCAAAGTCAAACCAAAACCACTGTTAGTAGTAATTTCTGGCTACTTTATAATTTGACTTCAGGTCTCCAAGGGTAATATTTCTCCTGGGTGAAAAAACCACCCAAAAAAAATAATTGAAGCAATAGATCAGAAAAGGAATAATTTTGAAGCTGTCAACAAATTGAATTAAATTGATAAGATGGAGAGCTTAAAATACATGAATCTACTACCTTCCAAAAGAATGTTGAAAAATTTTTGCATGAGACCTTGAATAAACTGAGGCAAACAGTATTAGCATTGAAATTAAGGAAAATTTTGCCATTGTGTGGTCCATCATATTTCAGTGTAGTCGAATTCAGAGTGCATGGCAGTCTTTAAGTGCTGTTTTTAACTTTTTTAACCAACAAGCTGTCCTTTGATACTGTGTCTGATCTTATGAAGAGTTTGATGTTTTCAGTTTCTTAAGAGATGCAATAAAATATGACAGATCAATTTTAAAATCAATTTCTCATGATTCCTTTTTGACATTGATGATGCCTTTACTTCCTGTGTTCAGATGTTTTTTAATTACTTTTGCAATTTTATTCTGGCATATGATAACATTTGTTTGCTAGTAAAGCAAATTCTGTTTGAAGAAACAGAGTAAATAAAACACGTTCTAAAGTACATATGGCTGTACTTCTTGGTGAGTTTGCATGTCACATTACGTGCAAAAGGCTTATCCTATTAGGTCTAAAAAACACCTGTATCATGTTTCTTTTCAATGAAATCCCCAGAAATCCTCATTTTAATTTTAAATATGAAGCTTTGTGGCCTGTTTATCAAGGGATTCCTGACACTTCTGAGGATGTTAATTATTAAAGGAAATTCAGTGACTCATGAATGACAATACATGACTGTGATCTCTTATGATCCTCGGTTTGGCTCTTAATGTTAATTGCTATTGGCAACTTTGCTTAATCTTGATCTGATCTTGAATAATGACAATGCTGGGTGTAGTTTTACCTGCCTTCTTGTTGGGGGGTTTTTCATTTCAATCAAAAAATGTTTGTTCATGGGAGAACTTGAATATTTATCTGGCCTGAAGGAATTGGAAAGGAAGAAACGGGAATTAGCATTCACACATGGTAGGAATAGTTGACTAATAATTATATTTTAAGAACCAATTTTCAGGAATGAAATGCCTAGTATTTCACAAACCAGAATTACATAGAATTTTGTATTTTATTGCTGGGAAATCTGTTATGATTTCTTAAATTATACATGTAGCTAAATAGTGTTTAAAAAATGTTTTTAAAGCTTTCAATGACACAAAATGACAATTTCAATGTTCTTATTTTTAAGTTCTAATTTTCTTTTGGAATGTGAATCTTTTCATATGTAAGTTCTCAGCTATCTGACAGTGTTTCTGTGTTTGAATGCTTGTACACTACTTTGATTACATCTACTATTGCCAATAGATTTGAATTTCTCCAAAATATTCAAACATGTAAAGCATTTTAAAACAGCATGAGTTAATTGAAATTGAGTGTAATCTCTTTCTGATTTACTACAGATTTTAAAAGAGGTCTATATTTTATTCCAGGTGATATTCTTCTACATTTTTCTTATTTGAATACAGGTCTTCAACAGTGAAATACTTTTTGTAACAAGCATTACATGTGACAAATGTAGTAGATGTGTTGTGGATTAATTCATGCTAATTTATACAGAAATCTCTTAATACTAACCAGAAAGCTGCAGCTGGCTTGATGTATTAAATTTCTTTCTGTTTACTCAAGATTACAGTGTATATATTAAGTTGGAGGAAAAAGTTTTTTAGTAAACATGAAACTACATAGAGATCTTCACTCGGAAGACGATATGGAGGTAGAATGTGG